CTGTGAGGTCCTGAGTTCAATCCTTGGTACCAAAAAAAAAAAAAATTGTCTTAAGGAATTGCCCCTGCATTTTGGCTTTTGTCATAACACACAAACTTCTGTTTGCATTTACTCTTCTTCCCTCCACGGCATCGAGCAATGAGAGTGTTTGCAGGGTTGGGGGTATTTATATCTCAGTGAGGGCTTGATGGAAAAAAATGAGAAATATTGAAATAGAATTTGGGGATGGTGGTTTTGCTCAGAAAGATGTGTCCACCATGTGAAAGGAAGTGCTAAGCAGTTCCCAGTTTCAGAAGTTAAGGGAAGAGTGTGTTTTGATTTGAGTGCATCACATCCAGAGCAAGGAGCACCTTTTGAACTCTAGCTGAAGTTGTATGAAAACCAGGGCTGATTCTGACACACTCCCTGGAAGCATTTATTCTGGAGTAGGAAAGTAAGTTCCATGTACCTGCTCCCAAAGCCCACAGACATTGGGAAATATCACTTCACTTCTCCACGCACATTCCAAAGCTACAAAATGAGTGGCTGAAAGTCTAACTTATTCTTACAAAGGTGTTGAGAATGCATTACTGTGAAGACATCATAATAAGCTACATATTGTCACTGTCTTCACAACAATACAGGAGGAAAAGATACTCCGTTTCCCTTCTCCAAGATCCTTCAGAGCTGCAGAAAGATTCTAGTAGAAGGGCTATTATGTAAAAAGCCTTTAAAGACCCATGTTTAAAGTGCCTCCCAGTCAAGCCTCTAAGTCCTTGGCTACCACGTCACTTTGACAGTGGCCGTTTTTTGCTTTTGTCCTGCTCTTAACTACCTCTATGAATGGGCATATTTCTGGCTGCCCAGAAGCTAGTGATGAGAATTTGAAGTTAGCGCTAGGAAGTATAGAAAGTATATTAAGATTAAATACCAAAAATCAAAAACGCTCCTGGCACTAGAAATCAAGAGCTATAGCAAAACAAAATAATTTATTTCCACAAGCTCATAAACGTCTGTGGTATAACTTTACACTTTCCCAGAACTGGTTTTCCCAAGAATTTGTGTGTAAGGGAAAGGAAAATAAAAGCATTTCAATTATTCCACAAAACCAACACAGCCAAAGGTCAATGCAAAGAAAATAATAGAAAGAAAAATGATGAGTACACAAAGACTCCGTGTTCAGTTCTTTGAGGGACGAAGGGGCCTAGAGAAAAGAAAGAAGAGAAGAGGGAAGAAAGGCAATTGGAGGAGAAGGAAGAAGAGGAGAGCCCAAAGAATTGAAGGGAAAGAAAAAATGAGGCCACCAAAGAAAATCTAGCCAAATGCCCCCTTCCTGCCACCTGTCACTATGTGACACTGACATCAGCCGGGCTCCTCCGAGAGAGACAGAGAGGTAGAAACCGCTTTACTGACCATCTACCTCCTCCCATAAAGCATCCCTAAGATAATTTGTAGCAAACACATCTTCATCATTGATCTTTTGTTTCTTTTCTCTATTGCTTCACCATACCCACCCCATCCTGCTGATTTAACCGAGGGCCTTCACACTGAGTTACATCCCCAGAAGTTCATTATTTTTTATTTTGTGGCAGGATTTCACTAGGTTGCCCAGGCTGGGCTCAAACTGTAATCCTCCTGCCTCAGCTTTGCAAGATACTGGGATTATAGGCATGTGCCACTCTGCTTCTTTATTTTTATCTTGCATATTCTGTGGATGTACCCATGAAATTAGGTTTAAGGAAAATTTCCTGGAATTTGAAGGTGAAGTAAGTATATCAAGGCAGGAACGTCATTTAGTTTTGAAGGAAGAATCATTGATATATTTCAGAAAGTATATTGAATAGTTTTCCAGGCATCTAAGATTAATTTTTCAATATCTACACCCACCTTAAGGTTAAAAAAAAAAAGTTGGTGAGTTTCTTGGGCAGCAGGGAGACCGTAGTTACTGAACAATGAACATAGAGATACCAGTTTGAGTAGACAGAGTTTGAAGTGCTGGGATAATAGAACATCTCAGAAATCATCAACATTACAGGGGCAAGGTGGTTATCGGTTCTGATGACCAGGTTTCCTAGTCTTAGCAGATAATCAAAATGCCAAAAAAAATTTTTTTAGCCTATTAGGAGAGTAAATTCTCCTAGAACATTAATCTAATGGACTGTTTTAAAGTTGTGGTGCTCTATTGCTCTATTGACTACAGTTCACAATAATGCATTGTACATTTCAAAATTGCTGAAATGATAGATTTGTAAATATTATTACCACAAAAAAATAAATATGTGAGATGATGGCTATGTTAATTAACTTGACTTAATAATTCCATAAATTATACATATATCAAGACATTACATGTACCCCAAACTCTATTTTTAAAGTCAATTTGGTGCACAGTTTGTATTCTTGAAGCACGGTAATTCTTCCTGTAATGCATGTCTTTGTAAAGGGCTGAATGAAAATGTCGTATGTTCAACAAACATGATTGCCTCTTGTTTCCTAGACATTTTCCTTATAGGTAAAATCTGATATAAATTTACCAGAGACTTCGTTATTTAAGGAATCCTTACTATATCCTATTACAAAATAAGAATTTCAATTACAGCATGCACAGCTATAATGTGATTTTCATTCATAAGTTTGCTTTCAGTATTTCAGCCTGAAAGAGTGGTACTATCTCATAGTACACACTTAAACTTTTAGTTAAAAGTCTAGTAAGATTTTAACTATTTTATAATCCTACAAGAATATACAGATATAGATGTGAGTTAAACTTGCTTGCAAATTGTGGTAAAACATCATAATTTAGATCTAAGTAGTTAAATATTTGGTATTTAAAATGGGTGTTTTATATTTGTATTTTTTATGATGGTTCAGGGGGTAGTGTTAAGTACACCAATGTGTGGGGAAAATTCTTAACCTTCAAAGGAGCAAAATGAAGAGAAAAAAAAAGTATATGTATATAACCAATTCAGTTGTAATTCTAAGAACTAATACCATATTTCCCAGTGAAGCATCACAGTAGATCTTGGATAATTTAGAATTGGCCACATATAATTAATCATCACTTATATTTCTACTTGCATTTTCATAAAACCATACTTTAAGCCTTAGAACTATCATTTAAATTGCTAAGTCAAATTAATATTCTTCATAATGAATCTAAAATGTTAAGAATTGCTTCAGTGATGGAACTCTACTCACTGGTTATGCATTGATATTGACATAAGAAATATGACTATATTTATAGAGCTCCCAGATGTGTTTCTCCATTTCTCTGAAAGCTTTCTTTATAGCTTCACAGCCAAGTTCAGGTGACTTGCACTCAGCATAGAAAATGCTTATAATGTAGCAGACATCTGTAGGTAATTTTCAAGTCTCTATTCCACACAGCTGGAAAATTTAAGAAAGTCCGAGAAACTCCTTAAGTGGAATCTAAGAGCTGATTAGGACTTAGTGAACTTCTGGACTGCTTACATGATATCCTGTAATGAATATTGAAAGAATTTTCATGATGTCTAGACATATGCATTGTGGATGCTTACTTATTAAGCAAATAACAGAGGTCAAATCCAGGAATAAATTAGCTCATGGGATAGTAACTACGGTTCTCGGGCCAGGCTTTTACTCCTATCTGAATTCTGTGGAAATCTGGAAACATCCTGTACATTTCAAAATAATAAGAGATCTTTCCAAATCGAGCTTGGCCATAGACTTGGGAGTTTCTGTTGCCAGTTTCTATTCTTGAATCTGTTGCTGTGTTTAAGCTCTTCTTGGCTTTCCCATCTTATTAACTAGCTCTCCTCCCAAGGACAGTGAAGTAGAACAGAACAAAATGCTGGCTAGGGCTGCTCCAGCTTTTCTGAAGGGCAAAGGGTAAGTTAAAGCCAGAGTGTACTGGAACCCTGAATTAACTAAACTAAAAATGGAGTTTCTTCATCAAAACTACTGTGTGTAAAAGCCTGTCTCTGATTTAATGAAAGCAGCCCTACCATAACCCAATTAACAGCACCACATAGCTATTTCAAGTGAACACATCTGTGTTGTTATTCGCTTTTCCTGATTTCCTTTTTCTTTTTCACTTAAATGACTAATCTGATTATTTGGTTTTCCATGATACTTAATATTTGCTTGCAACCTTTTGCTGTACAGATGAATTCCTTAGCCTTAATGGTGGAAGAATGCAAATTTGTTTTCTAAAAAATTTTTCACCCTACAGACAGAAATCCTTATTTTTAAATGTAGCAAAATAAAATTGTGGATTTTATTGCTTGGATTTTGCTTGTGTTTTTCACAGAACTTCATTTATACTCTTCATTGGCTTGGTTTTCTACATGCTTTTTCTACCACAAACTCAACCCTGCTTTCTCTGCTCCTTTTTGTCGACCTTCTTAACACTTTTCTTTCCCCCTGCCCCATTTCAGGATACAGTACAGCCTAAATGTTGCAGACAGGCTAGCTGATGAACATGTGCTCATCGGGTTGTATGTCAACATGCTCCGGAACACCCCATCATGGTTAGTGCAGGCTTGGCTGCCTGACTGTCTTTAGAGAAATGGTGTGAACTGGTAACAAGCAATCCTGGCAAGGGGCAAAGTCCCTAAACAAGATGGGTGTGTCACTGAGGCACTTTTTACCTCATTCAACTGGGAAGTCTTTGGGGATGTTAGTTTGAATGCTTCCCATTAATATACCATAGAATTCATATTCTCATGTATGTCCTAATTATGTTAAAAAACCCTTTGTGAGTGGAAATATTAGTACACAGGTGCATGCAGGATTCTGAATCACAACAGTGCCTCCTCTGCCATGTGTCATGTCAAATTACTGTAAGATCGTGAGGCAAGAATTTGATTTATTCCAAGGACATGTATGTCTCTGCTGATAAGGGAAACAATGCTTCATTTCAGTTAAGATAGAAGTAAAAAAGAGGAAAAGTAATGTGATGCGATCATAAAATGGAAATCATTTCTCTAACAATGATAATCATGAGAAAAACTGTAGTTCAACAGTTCTGGTACTTACAAATGTGTCTGAGTAGCTATGCTGCTGAAGCCTCCTTTCAAGGTCCAGAACATGCAAAGTTCACTCTCAGGTGTGTGGAGTTTAGCAATTCAAATAGGCATTCATGAAGGATAAATGTATTCATAAAATGTTTCTGGATTCTAATTTTGACATAGTGTCTTAATTAATTTTCTGGATGCTGAGACAAAATACCCAACACCCAAAGTTAAAGTAGAAAAGGTTCATTTGGCTCACAGTTTTTAAGAGTTTCAGACCACACTTAGCAGGCTTCAAGGCAGGGTAGTATCAGAGAGGCATCAAAGAGGAGAAACAGTTCATGGCTGACAGAGGCAGCAAACACAGCAAGCTACAAGCAATAAGCAGTGCCCACCACAGCCCTTTCTCTGTCCTGTGTATTCTATCCAGGGTACCCACCCTTAGGGTGGATACATTCACACCCAACATGAGGCATCCTTAATCCTTGGATCACAGCATCATATCCTTAATCCTAGAATCACACACTCTAGATCCAGCCACCTCTGAAAAGCTCTACACATGACTGCCTGAGGTTGGGGGGAGGGAGGGGCATCTAGATGTAAACCATAATGTATAGTTTATTGGCTAAAGTTACTTGCTTTTAGTAATAAATGTGCATTTGCAATTTGAATAAAAGTTTGCACCTATCAAACTAGTCTCAACTACTGATGTACAAACGAGTGAGATGTTAGAAATATTTTTATTTTTAATTTTCTCTGAACTAAGGGCCCATGGATTTTCCAAGGTTATATCTATAAAGTGGGATAGTTGGTTAAATCTCTTTTAAAGTGGTTTGCAGCTTTACCATCAGGTTTCTTCCCTCTTCTGTTTCATAAAGGCATTTCTCAAACATGTGATCACTACTGCTGGGTGCCCATTGCCTCACTACTTTAGTTTAGTTAGCCTTTGTTTCTAGAACTCTTTCATCCTTTGACTGTTTCCAAAGTTCTTCCCATTGTTGACATTTCTAACACCTTTGGCCTAAAGTTGCAAGATTAGTGAGACAATAGTTAGATTCATTTGGTGAATGATTTAATATTTATTAGGTTTAATAGATGTGTGATAAATATGCTAACTTTTGCATTAAAAAGTACAACCAGCACACTAGTTCAATTTTATCCTTTTTTACTCTTCTAATCGAAGCCAATCACTTTGTTCAAATTGCCTGCGCTTCTAGGTTTAATAATATCTACTGTATCATTACTAACTCTCAAAATTATAATATTGCTTTAATCTTATTCCCAACAAATCTATTTTATGGAATGTCAGAATAAAACTAAATTCTGAGTTACAAAATCATCATATTGATAACCTTCAAAAATACAGTCAGTGCAGATTTATTCAGAACGCAGTGATATGAGGGCACTGTTTCCTCTCCCCTGCAATTCCAAGCACATCCCAGTGATTTCCACCACTCTTCTTTGACCTTTTGTTAATTTAGGTTGTAACAAAGAAATCTCCAAAGAGAAAAAAGCTCAGAGTTTGTCACTACCAGCCATTTTCCCTACTCAAGCGATTAATCATATTGACTTGATGGTCACTTAAGACCATAAAACAGTCTCAGCAGAGGCACCTTACATCTATCTGCCTGATAAAAGCTTGGAAGGGATTTGTAGTTTGAAAACAAAGCAGGGTGTAAGACTGATAAATGAGGCAGACTCCTCTGAGTAGCTGCTTCCATTCCCTTTATAGCTTTCTTCTGTCCTTAAGAAGTTCCAACTTCTTCAGATTTCTCATTTTCTCTTTCCTTTCCTTTTTAAAAATTAGATCCTAACAATCTCACATACCAATTTTGCTTATATAAATAATACAATAATCTCTCACCTTCTCCACCATCATTATAGTTATGATGCTTTAACATCATTCAATTATGGTAAGATATATAATAGTAATAATCATAGTTACTCTTTTTTAAAGTACTTTTCTCATGCTAAGTTCAGTGCCAAAACTTTATATACGAGATTTCTCCTACTCCTTAGAATAACCTTGCAGAGTTAATGTGATCATTATCGTTTTATACATAAAGATATCATTTTAGTGTCTGTACTTGACTTTCCTTCAGTCACACAACTAGTAGGCAATGAACAAAGTGTTTAACCATTATCCAACCAAGTTTACAAAGATACCATGTGACTTAGAAAACCTGAACTAACACATGCCCTCCAGAAAGCTTTTGTGGGTTACTCCTCCACTCTGCAGTCTTCAGGTATTTACTTACTCACTTAATGAATTACTGAAAGGATATTATTGTTCCTTTTCTTCGGTATTGGGGATTGAACCCAAGGTCTTGCTGTACAATGGAAGCTGCAACCACAGCCCTTTTATTTCCTTTGAACAAATATTTTGAGGTCATAGTATTAATAAGAATGGTAGTTATTAGTGAGTTGTCTTTTATAAATTTAGTTCTATGAATTTGACTCTTCATTTTAATTTTAAACAGCAAAAAAGCAAAATTTTGTCTTCAGTCTCTCATCAAACAATCAAGAAGAGGGAAAAATAAATTCTACATTTATGAAGCACTTCAAAAATTACAGAGCCCTTGCCTATGTGCTGTTCGATTTGCTTCTTCATGGCTCTGGAAGTTTGGATAGTTACTTCCATCTCACCAGTAAGAAAACACAAACTCTGAGAAACTGAAGACATCCTGGGTCATAGTCTAGTGAAGTCTTGCACACAGGTTTTAATGAAACAAGATCCCATCAGTTTTCACCTCCCTTCTCTCCCTCCTTTTCTGGGTACTCCTCGTGAGATGCTCAGCAAACAGGCATCCCAGAGCTGGGCCCCACCAAAACCTATGGTTTGTTTTATCATTATTTAGCCATGTTCTTGACCAAACTCTGTGTGGGAAGATGGACTCATTTTTTTTCTCATTTATTTAATTTTTTCTCATTTAATGTTTATTGGTACATTTTAGGTATACAGTACAACTACATTCATCATTGGTATCTTGTATTCCATTTTATGGAAGAACCACATCTTCTTTATCCAGTCTCCAACTGATGGGCAAATGGGCTGTTTCCAAATTTTAGCTATAACAAATAAGACTGACTCATTATAAATAGTCTGCTGCCACATTAAAGAGATGCTTCAGTCATTGCTGGTTCTAATGTCAGTAAACAAATAAGCAGCAGTTCAGGCGAGAATTTCTGCTGCCTTCCGAATTAAAAATAAAAATAAAAACCCTCTGCGGTTTTTAAGCACCTTCTTCATGAAGCAGGAAGGAGTCTCAAAACTTTAACACAGTGAAAGTTTTTTCTCCCCTCCCTGAGAGTTGGTCAAGGACCTGCACTTACAGTGATTTATAGAGAAGATCTGGCAGGCAGACCAAAAGATTGGAAACAACCCCAGAACTTTTACCTGTAACCACAATTTGTCCTGCATGACACAATTCAGAAACTTCTAGCATATTTCTCTCAACTTTGTAAGAGAGAGGAAGCAGCTAAAGGCTCCCTTCTGTGATGTGATTAATTGCAGTCACTTGGTGAGACTCCTGACCGCATAAAACTGGGTTAAAATTGTTCCGCTTATGTTTTTCTCAAATAGAAAAATTATATGTTTATATTATTAATAGATTTCTTGCTAGCTGGATTAATAATGCAACAAATTTAAATTGCTCCATAGTATTTTATGTTTATGCGAGGAAATATATATCATCTTCATTCTAAGAATTTCTAACCTTGGGTTTTACATGTGAAGTCTCAATTTTAATAGGATTCCTTCTTAAAATGAGTTGCTGTCTTCCGGCTGCACTCAGTAACGCACCCAGGCCCCTGGCTGTGGTCTACAAGCCTGTGTGTAACTGGCCTTGCACACGCACCTCTCACCTTCACTCCTCAGCAGGTTAGCCACACAATGTTTGATCCGTTCCTAAGTCAAGCCCTTCCCCCACCCAAGGCCACGCTACTCTGGCTCTTCCCTCTGCCCAGAACGTCCGTCCTCACTTCCATCTTGTCCCTCCTTCCATGTCCATTGGCACAGACTGCTCTCTGGCTTTCAGTCTTAAAGACCCCGCCTCAGGTAGGTCCCTTGTATTTGTCTCTAAGATGGCACACTACGAGTTTCCTTCACTCCTTAGCTATTATCATGAAGTGGGTAGGTGGGTAAGTGATTTACCATCCACTTTGCCCTAATCCAATGGTGGCGAACCCATGGCACGTGTGCCACAGGGGGCCATTTATATCACTGAAATCTCTAAAAGGTTCACCTTCACTGCCCTACTCTATGGGGCAGGAACTCTCCAACCAGTTCACTACCATATTTCTGACACCAAACATAAAAGCTGACACTCAGTAGGTGCCTGATAAGTATCTGTTGGTGTTACAGAACATTGATGGTGCCTGGGGATAAAAACCCCTCTTACCCTAAACAAAATCCTTACAAATTCTCAGAAACCTCTTTTACTAATAAAATAAATATTTTCTCTGTTTAAAAATCACCTTTATAGAGTAAGCCCCTAGTCCTCTCTGGTTTAGGAGTATAAAATAGGTGGAAAAGGAAAATCATATTAAGTTTTATGTAAATAGAGGTAGTAAATGTAAACAAAGAAAAGCACCAGCTATTCAATGAGGTAGCAAAACCAACTAATAGAGATTTTCAAAATAGATAACAAACTAAAAGTGATATTGGGCAAGAATTTTTTTAAAAGTACACTTTATACTACTTTACTGAGACTGCCATAGCCAATTATGACAGAACAGGGTCCTCGAAAATCAGATTTATTTGCTCACAGTTGTGGAGGCTGGAACTCCAAGACCAACATGCCAGCAGCACTGGTTTCTCCTGATACCTCTTTCCTTGGCTTGAGGCCAAGCCCTCCCCCACAGTGGCCTCATATAACTTTTCCCCGTGCCTGTGTATGCTTAGTGTCTTTTCCTCTTCCTAAAAGGGCTCCAGTCATATTGGATTAGAGCTCCACCTTTCTGATTTCATGTAACCTTAATTACAATTCAAAGACCCCCAATTTCAAAGACACATTCTAAAATACTGGTTCAACATGTGAACTTGGGGCAAGACACACTGAGTCCATAACACACTTCACTATTGAATGCACTGAACTATTTGCCATTAATATTTTTGATGTGTAGGCTAAGATTTAATGGAGTGCATGACCTTCATTGTAACATATCTGGCTGTTAAAGTCAAGGTCCTGATAAAAGAATTTGAAAAATCGCTAAAGCAGCCATTATAATGATTAGTTTTCATTACCCATGAAGATGGCCATTTCGTGATTTTCTGTCTTTTGCAAGGAAAAGGGCCACAATGTTAAACTTTTTAAGAGTCAGTCTATCTCCTTCCCCATTCTTTAGTTCCACAGAAATACTGCTCTGGCCCCAGTAGCCCTTCCCTCTTTTCTGCCTCATCTCTCTTGTGCTCATTTACTTTTAATTGCCTGAACAGTGTTCTAATCCCATAGCATTTTGCTCTCCACCACCAGCAAACTATAGGAAATAATCTGAAACACAAAGCCTTCACTCAGATGTTAACTAATAATGCCGTCTTAGGCAGTAACTCCCGCTGGTGACCTTCATTTTAACAGAATATACATGAGGCAAAGGGATTTAAGATTAATCTCTAGTGATGAAATTCCTGTCCTCATCAGAACAAATAGAAAAATATTGGGGGAAAATAGAGAAGCATTTCTGGTACCTTTGGGATACCTATAAAACAGGTCCATAGAGAGAAGTCAAAGAAATGTGAACAAACCCTGAGTTCTCAAAACTCTTTGCTAAGTCACAATTTAGTAAGCCTTCCTTAGTTGGGGCCACTTGGTCTTCTCGGGATGCCATTTGAAATCACTAGCAACAGACACTGACCGTGCACTTAAGGGAAAAGGTGAGGAGCTTGGAAAATAATGGATTCCTCTACTCAGAAATATAGTCAACACAGCAGCCACTTTTTAATTCTCCATAGTCTTATAGCAAGATTAGTGATTATCAAGTCCCAAAATGAATAGCTAGGGCTAGAGAAATTGTTGGAATTGGTGCTTATTTTAAGGATTTGGGGATTGTCATTAATTTTCAACTATTTGTAATGGAAGTCCTGAAATAATGGAATTCATCACAAGAATGCCTCATTCACCTTTGTATAACTTGAACATACTGGAAAGGCACATGTGGACTCATAAATTGTTCGTGTTCACAAAAGGGTAATATATCACCTCAGCCCTCATTCACACTATGTTAGGGGAAGAAAGGCATGGAATATGAGTTATCACTTACTAGACAGAATCCCACATCTTACATTACCAGAAGGCTTTTTTATATAACCTTCATATTATTTATACTGGCCTGTCATTCATGATAAAAGCTACTTTCACCATGAATATTTTTGTCAAGTTTTAAAGAATGGTTTATCAAAACACACATGAGCATTTCTGACAAAGTCACTTTCAAGCAAACAGGTCATCATCTTGGGCTTATAGCAAGAGCCCTGTTGTCTGCACAAACTGCTGAATGAAGCATATAGTACAGAAAGAAGTGAAAGTCATGTTAAAATCAAACTATATTGTCTGCATGGTTGTCATATGTTTGAAGCAAAGACAGTATAACTTTCTCCTTCTTATGTAAGCGATAAGAAACTTGGTTATGTTTAAACTTTGCTGAGTGCAGATATTGTCTTATGAAGATAAATGTCTGCTTTACACTTCAATTTTTCAGAAATAATTCTGCCTTTGACTATTAAAATGTACTTATTCCAAGGCTAAATTGGTGTTTTGATTGAAATCTCACTCTGTTCTGGAGGTGATACTACTACACATTATTTGAACCCTGTTTCTTAGAATTTTCTGTTTTGAAATTTTGTAAAATATCACATATTCTGTGTAAATATGAATTAAGTACTCATGAAAAATGATCTCTTTTATATGGTTTATATCTTGGCTTCACTTCATGTATTTGGATTTCCCATTGTATTTTCAAGATCTTCTAGGTCCTTTCTACTCAAAGTGGAACACTTGAAGCTTATCAGAAATGAAGATTCTCAAGTCTCAACCAACCCTATCACTCCCCACTTCAGAATTTAGAAGCTGTCTTTTTCATAAAATTATAAGTAATATGAGAAGAATTGCTCTGGTTGGTTCAGAGAGTTGATGATATTTTGAAAGAACGAGAATTGTTAATGAATCAAATAGGTTACCTGAGAGGAAAAATAATAATATAGCATTAACTAACATTTTTTGAAAATTTAATGTCTAGGAATAATGACACCTTGATGCTTTTCACATGTATTATCTTATTTGGGCAAGACAAAAGGGAAATCTCTTTTTGAAGGATGGTTCTCTGAATTGATAAACAGGGAAATTCAGTCATTTTACAGGAAAAGGCTAAACCCAGAGTGGAAGAGTCCAGGATTAAAATAGGCATATTATATATATGTGAGGAGTATAGACAAGAGTAGAGATAATGGAGGCAGAAAAGTCTGAATCCCCCCAAAAAATACCCTAAGGATTTAGCCAACCATAGAAGAGTGGATGAGCTGTTTGGAAGTGACCATAGCCAACATGCATGAAGTGATTTCTACTCATTTGACTTGGAACAAAGATTAAAACACTGTGGAGTATGTATACTATATATGTTATATACATATACATGATTGTATTTATTGTGTAGATCTGGGCCTTTGAAATGAAGAGTTCTTGTAATCTTTATACAGGCAGAGGAATAGATCTTTTTTAATGTAAACTCATGAGAATTAATTTTTCTGTAAAAACAAAAGTTTAAGAGCCAATGAAGAATAAAATATGTTGGGAATGAAGGGAACTAATTTCTAATCTTGATTCTCACCTCATTCATATACACAATAAAAACTGATAAAACTCAAGCCAATTAATCTATTAACAAGATTGATAGAACTCTTTTAAATGGAATCTACTTTTTAATTTTTTTCTCTCATTGAGTTTATTGGTACATTTTAGGTATACAGTACAGTTACATTCATCATTGGGATCTTGTACCTTTATATGACAGGTCTTGATTCTCATTTTTCCCCTTGTCCCTGCCCTCCCTTTACCCCCTCCTCCCCTCCCTATTTACAAATACTTTATTTCCATTTTTTCATTTCTCATATTTTTTCCTTTTCCCTTACTACCTTTCCCCTACCCTTCCCACTTTCCCTACACTTTAGGAAGAAATGAAATCTAAAACTTAGTCTTGAATGAAGGGCTTCAGAAGACCAAGTTTCCTGAAATGGGGAAGTAGATAATACCTCTACTTAGATTACTTTTAGGGACTCAGGCCAACCTTATTTTAGTGTAAACAGTTTTTATAAATTTATAGGAGACACTAAACAATTACCATCAATGTCACTGGAAGATACTACTATAATTCCCCTTCTTTTGAAGTAAATTTGAAAGGCAAGTTCCTGAAAAGTAATAGCATAGATAAGAATTGTACTAGTTATCTCTTGCTGTATAACATATTATCCCAAAGCTTAGCAGTTTAAAGCAACAAACATTTATTATCTCACCATTTTGTGGAGGAATCCAAGGGCTCAGTGAGATGCCTCTGGCTCAAGGATTTTCATGAGGTTGCAATCAAGCTGTTGCTCCAGCCCTAAAGTTATCTGAAGGCCCTGCCAGTAGGGATTCATTCACATGGCTGTCAGTGGCACACAGACAAAGCCACGGGGCTGTTTTATGATACTACAACTAGCTTCCCACAGGGTGAGCGACCTAAGAAGGCACGAGAGATGAAGCCCAACATGAGAGCCATGATCTTTTTAACCTGGATTTGGAAGTGATATTCCATTCCCTTTTCCATATTCTATTCTTTGAAAGTGAGTCAGTCCAGTCCACCCTAAAGAGGGGGAAATGACTGCATATGAGAATGTGAAAACCAACAATAGAGATCACTCACCGGAAGCTAAATACAGTTGGGCTTTGCCTTTCTGCTTGCTTTCATATTTTCTAACATTGATTTTGGATGTGCGTTGCATGCGTAATAAAGAAATTAAAATATTAAAGGCAATTACATTTAAAATAAGGTATTCGTATGCCAGAAATGTTGACCTGAAAAGTCACTTCTTTTAGGAGGACTCTTGGTAAGATGATTGAATTGACAGAACACAGGATTTATTATTGACCTTCCTGCCCACAGATTAGATCATGTCATGAATCCAAGCTGGAGATCACTGACCTAACAGGGATTTGTATAGCTTGCAAATTTTTGGCATTGAAAAACTGAAATAGCAAACTTCCCAACAGTGATATGCGTGTATCAATCTTCCTATTTCCTAAGTCTCCTTTCTTGGTTGTCAACAGTATGCTTGAGAGTTCCAGCCGGCTTGATGAAGAACACAGGCTGATCGCCAGGTATGCAGCAAGACTGGCAGCAGAGTCCTCCTCGTCTGTAAGTACTTTGAGTGAAAGGATTCATCTGTTGGCATCTTGCATCCTTGAATTTCATCTGTCATGTCCGTTGTTATCTTGATAGCTGATGCTAATTAGCAAGACAGTGCTGGTTTGTTGTTTGTGTGTTTGTTGCTATATTTGTAGCATTTTGGTTGTGAAGTCCTGGTTTGAAAGTAACAGATTTGAAGAATAAAAGATCTACGGTAGTATAACACTGCAATGGAAACAGAAGCCACATCCCACTTTACCCCATTTTTGTGCCCATATGAGGACCTATAGAAAGGGATGACAATTGTTTATGATTCCTCAATGCATTTAAATAAGAAATATTTAGCAAAGACACTAAATCTAGGGCAGAATAATCACTAGTGAGGGCGACTCGTGATTGGTGTATCACAAAAGACAATGAGGTGAGCTGGAGTGGAGCAAAGGGGAAGCTGCTCCCTCCTTTCTCGCCTGGGATGTCACCTTATCAGAGCCTTCACGCCAGGCATTTAACTAATGATCCCAGGTGAGGACCATGACCCATCACTCTCTGACCTCTGTGGTTATAAGGTTAGAAATGACCATAATCCAGATGGAAAGGAATCTAGGGCAGGCTAAAATTGTACTGTATGGCCTAAAAATCAGGCATGGCATTTACAAATCAGACCATTTACCTTAAAACTCTAGATTTCCAGCTTATCTTGAAAGGCTAACAAGACCAAGTCCGTGTCACTCACAGCAGCGTGAAACTGGAGTAGCATTCCTCTGTCACCTCTGGACAGAGCAAGGAGTCACCATTTACGCCCAATCCCCACCCTTGGTCCCCCATTTCACTTAGGTCACCTCCCTGGCTCTATTCAACATTTAAATTATACCCTTAGTAGAGTACACTAACTTCTCTGGCCTTTGTTCCTTTACTTTGTTGAGAACATAAGTTACTTGTGTTCTTTGCCTATTTATATCATATAACAACTTTTGTAAATCCACCATAATATGAAAAATGTTTTTATATTAACTCTTGTTCCTCTGTCGATGTCTTCATAATCACATTCTAAGAATGTTATTATTAGCTAAATAAATCATAACTGGAAGCTGCCTTTTACTTGGATCCATTTATGTAGGAAAGTCCTACATCTTTCTTCACTGTGGTCTTATTTTGGATCTATTCTGTTTCCTATTGGATCCTGCCTTTCTGTCCTTCTCCATAACATACACAGATGTGCTAACCATTCCAAATACACCATGCAAAAACCTGGAGTCTACCCATCTAACAGATTACTTATCTACCTCACTTAATGAGGCAACTCGATGTCATCTCCGTATTATTCCCTAATTTTGTAATGTAGCCATGTTTCCTCTGTATTTCTTTTGAGTTATGTATTTCTTTTGAATTGAACCCATAGTAATAATCATACAAGTCACATGTATCTGTCTTTTGAGGAAAAGAAACATATATTTTTATAGAACATCTACCACAGTATATACTCTGTAGTAGATGTTGAATTCTTTTAAATGTGTTGAATAGAAGAATAAATCAATTTTGCCTGTTTGAGGCAGTCTAAAACTTAAGGAAATTTCATCCAAATAAGAATGTCCTCAAGTTCAAACTTTGAGTCTGACATGATTCCTACAAGACAGTAAAATAACCAATGAATTTGGTGATCATTTTGCTCAATCAAATTAGAATATGATTAGTCAGCAAGCCAGATCTGGTCTTCAAAAGGCTATGGGACACTTCTGTAGCCTATAGTTATTAAATTGTAGTTGGCTTCAAAAGCCATATAAGGATATAATATTGGATTTCTTGATGGCTACTGAGACATGCCTGCATAAAAATAGGGGGGTTGAGTGCTTCTCAGTGCCTTCTGTATAACTGTGACTCTTCTTAGACATGCGGCCTTGAGTGGCAAGATCAGGAACCCAGTGTGGTGATCCTATTTCTTATTAATAATACTCTGAAAATCTGTTTTCCTTTCTCTGCTTCTTTTCTATCTCTAGTTGTCTCTATGCCATCAGTTAAAGAGGTTAAATGTAATTACGTGTTCAAAGTATATGGACACAGTAAGGATTAATATCTCCCTTTTGCTTTTTTTTCTTCCTCCTTCTGTCTCTTTTTCCTGCTTAGTCTGCCTATTTTTCTCTTCTTCTCTACTTGAAATCTCACATTGTTCCTCTTTTCCAGTAAGACCCATCATATAGATCTAACCTACCATTTATTATTTCTTATATTTATTGATTGTAATTCTTAGTTCTAACTTTTAAAATCAAATAAATTAAACACTATATATTTTAATCTTCAGAGAAAGATAGATAGTGTTTCTTATTATTTATTGCTTAGGGCTGGGGATTTAGCTCAGTGGTTCTACCACCTGCCTCACAAGCACAAGGACCCGAGTTCGATCCCCAGTACCTAAAAAAAAGATTCTTATTATTTATTGCTTGATATTGTTTTTCATCTACATTGACTACTATTTATTGATTTAAAATAAAATAAAAAAGAAATGTCTTAATCCTTGATAGATCAACATACTACTCGAATGAGATCCAGTCCATTTTTATACATATAAGCTAAGAAAAATTTTTACATTTGTATTGAAGAAAAATCAAAAGAAGAATCATATTTTGTGTCAAGAGAAAATTACATGAAATTCAAATTTAAGTGTCCACAAATAAAACTTTATTAGAATACTACCACCTCACTTGTTGACAAATTATGTATGACTATTTTCTTGCTACAGTAACAGAGTTGAATAGTTGCTGCTGCTGTTTGGTCTGCTTACCTATTGTCACTTTTTGACTCCTATTTTAATACAGCAAAATCATAGCTTAGAGTATTCTGGTTACAATATTGCTGGGCCCACTCATTGCATGATTTATTTGGGTAAGTCCTAATCAATTAATACAAAGAGCAAAGCAATGCTTGAAACTAACAGTCTTTCATCTATACCCAAAACATATGCAAGAAAGAGAAATTTGTGTAGTGAAATTGCAATAACCTGGATCACGGTTCAAAGCTGCCATGTGCCAAACATAGCTATAGAAAACAAGTCAGGATGTAGAACACAGGACCTGAAAATTCTTCATCAGCAACACAAGTTACATATTTGTCAAAAAGAAATACAAAGCAGAAAGCATAGAAGAGTGTTTTTGAAAGTCAGGTCTTTGCCAATTTGAAGTTTCTGGAAATTAAAAAACAGGCTGAGTTTCTCTGTGTCTTTTGACTTAGGCAGCAGTTTTCACATTCCTTGATTTAAAAAAAGAAAAAGCATTGTGATTTAAAAAATAAAATAATGACTTGGAGGGCGGGGGATTTAGCTCAGTGGTTCCAACATCACCTGCATTGCAAGTGCAAGGTCCTGATTCAATCCCTGGTACAAAAAAAAAAAAAAAAAAAAAAA